GTATGGTTTTCCCAGCACTTCTATCTTAGTCGTCTCTGCACGGTACTGACTCTAGGCATGTAGTGCATACGATGTCGTCGTTATTGGAGGAGGCCACGCTGGTTCCGAGGCCTCTGCAGCTGCCGCTCGATCTGGCGCACGCACCGCATTGATTACGCCGTCGCTTTCGAACATTGGTGTGTGTTCATGCAATCCGAGTTTTGGAGGAATCGGGAAAGGAACAATGATCCGCGAAATTGATGCCATGGACGGTGTGGCAGGGCGAATCATTGACAAGGCCGGTATTATGTTTCGCATTCTCAATCGCTCCAAGGGACCTGCTGTGTGGGGTCCGCGCGCCCAGATCGATCGGGGTCTCTACAAGAAGTACATGCAGGAGGAGCTGGTCGCTACTGAAGGGCTGAGCATAGTGGAGGGCAAGGTCGCAGATATTGTGGTGTCGAAAGAGGGGGTGGAGGACATCCCGGGATCGCAGGGCAAGATTGTCGGAGTACGGCTCGAATCTGGAGAGGTAATACCTACTGGGCGCGTCGTCATCACAACCGGAACGTTTCTCGGCGGAGAAATACACATTGGACTTGAAGCATACCCTTCAGGGCGTATGGGTGAAGCGGCTACGTTTGGGCTTAGCAAATCCCTTCGCGAAGCAGGTTTTCAGCTTGGTCGCTTGAAGACCGGGACTCCTCCTCGTTTGGATATGAAAACGATCGACTTTTCGCCATTGGAGGTCCAGAGAGGCGACTCCCCTCCGCAACCTTTCTCGTATCTCAACACAACGGTCGATGTTGGCGATGAAGGTCAGCTTACATGCTGGATGACCCACACCAACGAGGCTTCACACGAGATTGTGCGCGCAAACCTTGACAAGTCAATTCACATTCGCGAGACCGTGCGAGGGCCACGCTACTGCCCCTCGCTGGAATCGAAGATCATACGTTTTACGGATAAGAAACAGCACCAGATCTGGCTCGAACCGGAAGGATTCGCACCGAATGAGGTCATCTACCCGAACGGTATCTCGATGACCATTCCGGCAGATGCACAATATGCCCTGCTTCGCACGGTCCGCGGTCTGGAGAACGTGCGCATGCTACAGCCCGGCTATGGTGTGGAGTACGACTACATCGATCCCCGCAATCTCCGGCCGACTCTGGAGACAAAACTGATCAGTGGCCTGTATCTTGCAGGCCAGATTAATGGAACAACCGGATATGAAGAAGCTGCAGGACAGGGGATCATTGCCGGTACGAACGCCGGTCTGTCCGCTCAAGGCCGTCAGCCGTTTACTCTCACCCGGTCGGACGGGTTTATCGGAATCATGATCGACGACCTCATCACAAAGGGAGTATCCGAACCCTATCGTATGTTCACCGCACGAAGCGAATATCGCATTTCGACTCGGTCTGACAATGCCGATCTGCGACTCACCCGTATGGCCCGTAACGCCGGAGTGGTCTCGGACAGGCGGTGGCGTTATTTCACCGACACAGAAGCGCAAATCAAGGAGTTGCAGGACCTCCTCGCCAACACGAAACTTTCCTCTACCATCTGGTCGCGCAAAGGATTTAAAACTCGGACCGATAGTTCTGTCCGCTCGGCGCTCGACCTCCTCTGCCTCGACGGTGTGGACATCGACGCTTTGATCCCCCACATCGAATCGCCATCAGGTATGGCATATACACCCTCGTCATTCGACCCCATAATTCGAACCCGAGTCAGCATCGAAGGTCGCTACGCGCCTTATGTCAAGCGGCAAGAGGCAATGGCGAGGAAATTCCTGCAGGATGAGAGCCTCATCTTGCCTCCGGACTTGGACTACTCGAAGGTTCAAGGCATCAGTACCGAGGAAAGACAGGCTCTCGAGCGCGTCCGACCCGTTAGTGTGGGAATGGCGAGGCGCATTGAAGGAGTCACGCCAGCGGGAGCTCTGAGGTTGCTGATGCACGTCCGAAGGGCCATGGACACGAGCAAAGAAGCACTCGATGCAGACGGGTTTGAAGGATCTGCGGAAAGCGTGTTACGTGGATCTGTTTGAGAGTGCAGAATGCAGCGTGATGCTCAATCATCTAGGAGGCTTGTAAGATTAGCATTGGGGTTAACATTTATTGGGAAATTGCATGGCGCATGGGATGGTACAGCGACTGAAATATTTCTTAGGGCTTGTTGATCTTTGCATTGCGTATGGCATTGTAGCTTACTATACCAAGGTTATTCTACTCCGTATACTCTCAGAGGTCTCGCCTCAACAACAGCACATATCATGTATTCCTAATCTCCAAATTCGTAATATATCCATTCTCTATCTACTATTCAACTTAAAGCGGAATATTACAACAAGGAAAACACTCCGAGTCTTAAGAAGAGTAATACGATTGCGTCGATGATGATAACCCACGTGGTGGGTTGAACAGACTTTCCGCAGACCGGGAGTTCATGACTCTTCTATGATGATCATCAGCTGAGATTGATTATTTTATCCCGTCCAATTAACTCATACCCCCCAATCTACACCTCGTATATAGCACTCAAATTTTCCCCTTTATTGCAATGTCAACCTAGTTATCTACCTATCTATCTATCTAACTTTTTCTTTACCTTGGACTCACACGTTCCCTTCTGCATGCCATTCCCGCTGACAATCGCCTATGTATATTCATTCACGCCGCGATCCTGCATTAATCAGCGCATTACCACTTTTCCACAACAGTGATAGGTCTCGAATGTCTCTTGCGCTGCACTCATAAAATCCTTCCGGGGCGTCGCAGGCGCTAGCGCTTCGGGTTCGCACAACTTTCACAACCTCTAAGCTTCTGTATCTTGTGCGACGAGGTGCACTCGCTGGGAAAGGATTGTCACTCAGCTTCGCCGGCGAGAGCGACATCTCACCCTCATCTTTCCGCTCGCAGCTCGACGACAATGTCAGTACCTCGGATGTATTCGCGAGTGCGGACGCTACTGCTTGCAGTATTCCTCGCGTCGGTCTTCACCTGGTCTTTCGCGCGATGGCGATCTGTCCCAGTCAAGTCAGGCGACGAAAACCCTTCCTACCTTGATAGCGACAGCGTTGCGGTCCTGCATTCTACCGATGGTCATATTCATTTCTGGCAGCAGTTCCAGCCACTATTGGCCAAATATCAGCCGAAATGCGACCCACCCATGCGACTCGGCAATGCGCCGTCTGTACGGTTCGAGGAAGCGAAGCCGGAAGACCGAAGGGACTATCTGGATATGCTACCGGATAATGTGGAGATCATGAAGAACGCGCATACCGGGTTTGTCAGCGATATCAAGAGTAACCCGCCACAACTACACTATGTCCCCAACACAAGGGGCCTGGTCTCGACGGCAGGAGGTTCATACCTGCCTGTTCTCGTCATTTCTCTTCGAATGCTCCGGAAAACAGGTTCAGAGCTTCCGGTAGAGGTCTTCTTGGCAAACGAAGAGGAGTATGAGGAGTATATATGCGATGTGATTCTGCCGTCTCTAAATGCCCGATGTGTGGTGCTGTCGCACATTCTCGATGCCGTCCCCAAGATCATGCAGATAGAGAAGTACCAGTTCAAGCTCTTCGCGATGATGTTCTCGTCTTTCGAAGAGATCCTTTTCTTGGACGCCGATGCCTTCCCGCTGGAGAAGCCAGACATCCTGTTCACGAACGAGCCCTTCCGGTCGAAGAACATGGTAACATGGCCAGATTTCTGGGCCGACACCATCTCGTCATACTACTACGAAATCGCATCGAAGCCGATGCCCCCAAACACCATCCGCCAGTCGAGCGAATCCGGCGAGCTGCTCATCTCCAAGAAGACACATTTGAAAACGCTACTCCTGAGCACGTACTACAATTTCTGGGGCCCAGATAACTACTGGGCCCTGCTGTCACAAGGCGCAGCGGGAGAGGGCGACAAAGAGACTTTCGTCGCCGCCGCTCTGACAATGGACGAACCGTACTACCAAGTCAGCGAGCCCATCGTCGCCATCGGCCACCGCACCAAGTCCGGCCTGGCCGGCTCCGCAATGGTCCAATTCGACCCCGTCGAGGACTACGCCCTGACGCAGAAGGGGGAATGGCGCGTGCACGGCTCCAAAGCGGCCGCGCCCCGCGCTTTCTTCATCCACGCCAACTACCCCAAGTTCAACCCCGCCACGGTATTCGACGATCAAGACGTCACCCCGACCTTTGAAGATGACGGCAGCTACACGCGCGCCTGGACGATCCCCGAAGAGGTGATTGGGAAGTTCCGCACGGATGTGGAGAAGCAGTTCTGGAGGGAGATCTTGTGGACGGCGTGCGAGCTCGAAACCAAGTTCCGGACCTGGGAGGGCCGCGAAGGTATATGCCAGCGAGTCAAGGACTACTGGAATGCGATGTTCCCCACCCAGCAAGCCAAGACATAAACGGTTGTCCTGAAGGTTGACATCTCGAACCGGACCTTTGATGCTAGGAGGGCATAACCGCGGAACCGGCAACCGTCCATCCACCAGCATCCTACGGTGGCCAGGAGGCCACTTCGTCAGTGACCAGGATTTTAGGGCATGGCCAAAGTCCACGATGTCGAGCGACGCTAATGTGTAACCGTACTTTCATACGGCCTACAAGGGTGAGCAAACAATCTCGCCTGCTTTAACAAATGCAAACACTCGAAAGGCAATCAGGTCTGTCCATATATTTGTTCGCCATTGATCGTTCCCTTTCGTGAAATCACATCGCATCTATCGGACATTTCATCAGCTGCTACGTGGTCTTCTCCCGCAGAAAAAAGCATTGAGAAACGTGGAGCCTTGTGCTTATAGCACTTCGCTTCATTTGCAAATATCAAGTCTATACTGCCCCTTTCTATGTACATCAGCTGGTCATATACACTCCAACCATGCAAATATTTACCGCAACTTGTAGTAACAAATGAAACGAAATATAGGAGGCGACCTATCGAGTTTAATCACTCTGCGCCGAAGCCATACACTTTTCCCCTGAACCATCTATATGCAATGCACGAAGTTCACGAGGACTTCTTCCCGCTGGCTCTTGCAATGCGTTTCTGTACTTCCTCCTTAGTGAGGATCTTTACTGCGTCTTTGGAAAAGACGTAGCTGAGCCCAGACCAGATTGTAGTGGCTGCAACGAGGTACCTAGGTAAAAAGTTAGAATGCGATGCAAATAAATAAAGAGTATTAACAAAAGGAAGAACAAGAGAAAATAAAGAGGAAGAAGTTATGTAGATAAAAAATGATTTTGCAAAAAGCAAAAACGTACAACAGCCGGGATTCGCTGGTGGTCACCCACCCAACTACTAACCGGCCGGCGTGTGGCTTAAGTACGGCTGAGCGGACGGGAAGCCCTGTTTTCCACACCCTATGGTCGTACGTGCTAGAATTTCACCTGACAGCAACCATATGCACAGATACCTCCCATTCTCTTCCACACTTCAAAAGAAATAAGGGTAAAAAAGCAATAACGATGGGAAACAAAAGGAATCTGTGGTACTTACTGAAACGCCGTCATTCCTTCCCGGAGACTCCATGCATCGAGGACTGCCTCTGGAATGACAGGCAATGCGATCGCAGAGCCCACAAGCACAAGCTGCAAAGCTGTGTTGACTTTGGAGATACCCGTTGGCTTGACCTCTGCGGAGGGAAGGGAGAAATCCCAGTACCGTGCCATCGTCTTTGGCGGGGGGAGAGATATCCAGCGGTAGTAGATTGCGGACAACGCAAGACCAACATCGCGACCGAGAATGATTACCGCAAGCCATACTGTTCCCGATCAGTGACTGCCAACAACAAATAGGAAAGACAAGATCCCCTTGTTCGATATTGGATGAGATTGAAACAACAGCGTCATTAAAGGAAGGAGGAGCCCTACCAGGAATAGAACCATTGATAGCCAAGCAAGCAACACCAATCGTCATCAACAGTTTATCGGCCATTGGATCGATAATGGTACCAACGACAGTTTGCAGGTTATAACGTCGGGCAATATAGCCGTCCACAAGATCTGTGAGGCCAGCATAGACAAATAATGATAGCGCAGCTGCGTGATGATCATGAACGAGAAAGTAGCCTACCAAGGGAGCCGCAAGTAGACGAGAGAATGTGAGGATATTGGGAACGGTGTAAATGTTCTCATGAGTAGGAAGAGGAATTTTGGAGAGGATAGGAGACTTTTTCAAGCCGGCTTGGGGCCTACACATGGTCAAAATCTCACCAACGATAGTCACCCACATGCGAGGAGACCTGCATTGGCACCGACATGACGCAGAGATCAATACTCACTTTTGAGAGGGGTTTTCCATCTGACCATCCGGTCTTTTTGAGCCTGACCATCTCCTCTGTTGATTAAGTGGTCGGCCACAGGGAGGCTCGATAGCACGGAACATACAGCCCGTGTCTCTCGCGAACCTAGCAACTGTTAGGCTCAATGAAAGACCTAGCGGAATAGGCGTATACATACCTGTCTTGCATGTATCTAGGACGAGCTAATGCCGTAGATACCGTCAAAGAGTGTAGGCTCTTCCACCGGGGGTTTTGCCATCCTCTGCAGGTGGCGGAATTCGACCCGAGTGGATGAAACATGGTTGCTCTCCATAGACTTGGAGATTGCCTGATGGCTCGAATGGGCATCAGCAGGAGAGTATTAGTTGCCATGATGACCTTTGTCAATCAATGGCACAAGAAATGGGATAAGTGAAATAGTGAAATAGCAGATGAAAAGCGCTTGGCGAAAATACTGAGATCTGTTCGGAGCTCTGGTGCAATGCATATGTCTCGGTTGGCGATTTTCCCTAACTCAAGACAGCCGCCGAGACAATATCATAGTCAATTAAGCCTGGATGTGTCCGTTAGAAATATGCTGTCAACCTGGAACCCATATGCTATGGGGTCAATGAGATCAAAAATGAAGGCCAGATTCGAAGATATGCACGATGACGAAACGACAGTTGGCGCTCTTGTGGCGAATATGAACGTAACAAAATGGCAGACGGCCTATTCAGGTGACGAGTTGTATAGTCAACAGCCTATCTCTTTGAACTTGAATTTATAGCGATAACCGGAGTATATGATGGCGGGTCAATCACCCAATTCCAAGCAACTCAACGGCGGTCTCGGGTCAGAAGATATACAGGTGACGGTGGGAACCAGACAGCGGCCAACTACAGACCGGCTGGATCCCAGTTGAGCCCAAGAAACCGCACGAATGCTTGTGTCGCAATGAAACAAGAAAATGGTTTCAATGTATACAAATCGAGACTCGTGACCACCTTTTTCTGTCTGGGGAAAGGAAAATGCGCACGGAGGAGGTGTTGTTCCGGTTAAGTCATGTGATATTTCCCGAGGTTGTTGTATCTGGTGTAGACCTTTGGGCGGCGAACATCGACATGTTGAACCATCCTCAGTATACTAGGATACCACGGAAGTTTCTTTCTTCGCTATCGTCCAAGTCATTTACTTGAATAGGCGTAAGACATCAATACACAGCGGGTGTGGTGTAACCGCGCCGTCTCTCCATCCCGACGTGCAAATCATAAGGCAGATTGACAAAACTAATGAGGATGCAGATGGAGTCATACTTGGTACAGTCAGGCTTGCAGTCAGTAGATAGGGGAGAAAGGAGTCATTGGGGCTATCCATTGCTGAGAGCTTTCGTGGGTTGCTTGTGCTACGACGTAGAGATATATACAGAGATATATGCTTCGAAAGCTGGTTGGTCACCTCCCACATACGACAGCATCTACAACACACCCTAAAATTTACAGAGAATAGAATGTGGTTTAAGAGTCATTAGCTCTCCACCTGACCTCTCAGGTCAACGAAGCAATACATTCACTGGCGCATTCACCATATCCATAGTAGCACATCCGTCCGTCTCTCATCTGACTGTAGATCCCTTCTCACCTGACGCCAGCTATGAGCATCTGTCCACAAACCGGGTTTTCGCCTTCAGGTTTGCCAAAGTAAGTCAAAAGCAGAGCACTCTGCATATGACACTGGCTAACTTACCTCATCACTAATGATGTTGATTTACAGGCTGTTCGCGGATCCCTACTTCCATCACTCATGGATCGACAAGACACATACCCGACCTCAAACATAGGACTTTGACATGCAGCAGGCATTTTTGGCTACCTGATACGACAAGAACAAACCTGTAAATGCCAATCATGAACGGTCCTGCGCCTCCTGCGCCGCTGCCTCGCGACTTGACCATCCCTGGCAACAAGCAAAAGAAACTTGAAACCAGCAACACAGGGTCCCAGATGCCTGCAGATCCCAATCTGGCAAACCCTCGACTATTGCTCAACGGAGCCTGCATCTACGAGCGTCAATTACCCGGCGACGCATACATCACAGCGCACGTCCAGCGACTGCAGCATGGATTCTACTCCAGCCCTGCCGTTTCCGACAAGGACTATGACCACGTAGACTTCCTGGGGATCAATTTCGTCTTCCACTCACCCAACACTTTGTCGCATCGGTTCAAGGCGGCCACGATTCGAGCTTCCGTGCAGGGCACCCGGCATGCCGCTTCGTCAGGCCATTACCCGAACGGCTACCCGCCGGGAAACCCGCGCTTCCTCATGCATGCACCACATCTGATCTACGGGGCTATATCGCCAGAGACACTGCAGTGGAACTACAGCCTGTCCGGATCACTGGGAGTCGTTGACTGGCCCCTGATGGCCAGCCTGTCACCCACCGGTGGCATTAATGGCCGATACAGACGCTATGAGATGATGAGAATCCAGGGATCGGTACGGACCCTGAAGAGCCCACGAGGGCGCAAGTTCGACATCGAGGCCGGGGAAATTGTCTGGTCGCTGGAAGAGAACAGTCTACAGAGATCGGGCCTGCCGCGGGAGATCACGTTTGCCATGCTGATCCAGAAACCGCGCGCAGACAGCCGCATTGTTTTCTCCTTGGACATCGAGCCGACCCTGCAATCGTGGTACGGCAGCTACCCGGACTGGTGGTTATCGTTGCCCAAGTATCAGCCTCTGAGTCGACGGCTTGTGGACTTCAGATCGGAGGTTGGACAGCGCTTTGAACCCGTCGCATCGATGAAAGGATTCAATTTCGCGACTCTCGAAAGTTCCTTTGATGACTATGTGAGCATGCCGGGGAAGAGATTCGCTTCCGTTGTAAGCTCCAAACCGCCGATGATAGGAAAAATAGTTGACGCAGACAACCACAGATCCCACCTGACGGAGGAATTCTACAAGACGACAACGACGCCCTTCAAGATATCAACCATGACCGCACCATAGTCGAGCCGATCCGGGGTGTCGCAAGAATCGCATACCCCAATGCCATCGCCGGCGCAGCAGCAACAGCTACAGCCACAGCAACAACATCAACTCCAGCACCAGCGCCAGCCCTTAGCGAGCCGGCGCCCATAATACGTCGGAGAACCCTGATCTCGGACCCTAGCGCCTTGACCATCCACCTGCTGATGGACAACCAGATGGTCTCACACCTATCAAGTCTGCGCGGGAGCCGTCCTCCACCCAAACCCACTACCCATAGCGACATTCATAATGGCAATAGCACTGCCAAGCGGAATAACAGCGATCGCCAAGAGTCCCCGACTGCAGTGCCAGCAGCCACTATCCCAGCACCGCCTCAGCGCCGGACGACCCTCCGCAGGACAAGATCGAGAGAAGGACTAAATTGGGATCGGAATCATCCTCATCCGGAACCGCGCCCCCAGGTATCCGACCAGCGTTTTTCCTGATGCACCTTTTTTTTCCCCTTCCTATCAATATCAGTTTCACATCGCTCACATGACCGACGTGACGACGCGGGAGTCCGCATGTCCATCTAGTCACATGGGGCGCAGCACATGCGTACCGCGATTCGAATGGAATGGAATGATCACCACACCCTGCGAACAGTGCGAAGTACCTACCTACTCACCTACGTAAAGCACACAAATAGCCAAGCAGATAACCCGGTCCCACCAATCAAGGTCCCCAAAGTGGGGTTCTCCTGATCCGCGTCTCCCCGGGTCAAGCATCCCTGATTCGCTGACCCAGGACCGAACGGGCTACGGGACAAATCGGCCCACCAGCGAATGATCTGCAACTGCAAGCAGGCTATGTCACGTACTGTATCCGTCATAGATAAGGGAAAAAAAAGGACCCGAAGTTCAGAATGTAGTTTCGCAAATTGATCTCTGTAGTGCTAGTGCTAGGCCGATAAGTCCATGGGTGAGAGATTGTTTCATTTTGACTATCTAGAATAGAGCGTCTCCGTACCATAAAGTAGATACTCTGTGTGGACAGCGGATACCGGACGGGGCCCTAGTTAGTGGTGGATCTGACAATGGCCAATTCAATTTACTTCCCGCGTCTATCCTTGAGCATTAAAAATGAAGGTTTTCTAGATTGCGGTCTAGTACACACTAAGCATCGTATTTCAACGTCGAGCGAAGAATACGGACGATCATGAAGCAGCAGTCAGAGACTGGTAAGGAAAAATCGAACAGCAGTGATGATGTAATCCATTCGTTCCTTCGAGATGTTACATGCAAGGAACGCAGACATGGCACGTAGCACCTTTGTTTCAGCACCAGGAATATGGGGCTGGGCAATTAATTGGACTATTGAAAGTATGATATAACCTCCACTGGTAGACCAGAATACACGCAAAGGCAAAAGATATCAATGTGACCTGGCTTATAATCGGCCTGTGAGGATGCTCTCAGCTTCCGTATACACCTAGAGCCTCTCCCCGTAAAAAAGCAATAAGGATATAATAGCTTAGCAAAGCAGGAACAGGACTGAAAACGGAGACATAAAAAAAGAGAGGAAGAAACACAGATAGCCACCCAGACCGAACCACCAAAACCGCGACATTGCTCATAATCATGTAAAAGACAGTGCAACTGAACCCGAATGAAGGACCCTCCGAACAAGTGCAGGAGAAAGAATAAAGATCACAATTGGCTAAGACGAAAAGATTTTGATGTGTATCATATCGTCGTAGAAGACAACACAGCAAACCATGAAAGAAACAGCCTCCGGTATCTTCTCTAAGAGCAGAATTCCACCCGGGTAAACATCATACCGTGCTTACAGAATCTATCCCCAAATCGCCGCCCTCAGAGATATAATGTGAATAGAAAAGGAAACGGGGTAATCATAGGAAGGGTGTACGAAACAAATAAAAAGAAAGAAATAATGGAATATTGGAG